CACGGCTCTCTTGAGCTGTCAGAAACACAGGGGTGGGGGTGATAATCTGTGAGTATAGTATTTTGGAGTTCTGCTGAACGTCTGTGTCTGTTGTAAATTGTACGCCACTATGCTTGTTTATACAAAAATGCTGTTCATCGAGACCGTGGTCCGATAGATCCATCATGTGTGTGCGTGTGTGTGTGTGTGTGTGTGTGTGTGTGTGTGTATGTGGTGTTGGGAGCTAGTGACTTTTCTTGCCACGGTACGGCAGTGAGGCTATTAATAATAATTACTATTCTCGGCCAACCGTTGAAGTGTTCGCCGGGCGCCCTTAACGTATTTCACCTCCGAACACGAATCAGCCACACTCGAACGGCTACAACCCACCGAAAAACGGACGCGCTTCATATCACAATTACTATATCATATACCTATTACTACCTACATAATAGTACGCATTAATATAATATATTTTCGATTTGCAGCACTGTGCGTGGTATTTTATACCTAGCAGCGTGGAGGTTTCACTTGAACAATGCTCTCAAAAAACCCTGACTAATTATTTGTGAATTTCGGCCGAAAAAAAATTGAACGAAATTTCGGAGAGGCGAACTCAATAATTTACTCGACAAATGTTCGGAAGCAATTCTATTTAAAAAAAAAAACCCCCTAACGTAACCTGTAACTTACCCAGGTTGGGGAGGCACTTTTTATATGCCACGCCATCACTATACTTACTGCTTGTAAACTTCCCCGGTGTGGTGTCACGGTCCGCCCGCGTTCCGCGTCATAGGTCGTTTATTATTTTTCTACGAAAACTACTGTGCATAATATAATTTTGTTTTTTGTTTTGATTCTCTAGTGGTGGAAAAAATCGAGAGGAAATAATCAAGACACTCGAATGTTTGGATTTAATATAATCGTATTGTCATGAAAACAATCATCTTTTATTAACCTTTAAAATACCACTGCACCTGATAGTTGTTGAGATCCGATACATTCGTGGATTTTCTTTCTGGGCTTGTATTTTCTCTATGGATGTGCTCGGGCCCTGATGTTATGTTCCTGCGCAGCTGTTGATAGAATGAAAATATGATTGGGAAATTATTGCGTACTATGATATAAATGTAGCGACGTATTATTTTTCAAATGATAAAAACAATGCAAAAACTTATATTAGTAGTTTTTTTATTTAAAAAGTATGATAAGACACTGAGGTCGTTCATAATTTCCGGTTGATTTGAGAATAATAATTATGGTATACAAATTGTTAAATAAACTGTAAAATTCGATTGGCATTTCTCACTGTGGCCGTCTTCTTTATTAGCACACATATATCGCTTTGATGTTTCCATTAAATGATTGGCTAATTTCGAGTTAGAATATGATCCAGCAAGATTTCTTATGTTTAGGCCCGTCGGAGATTGTTATTACAATGCCTTTTTACGTTTTAAATAATTTAGGAGTCAGTTATTTATTTACATTTAATCATTGCTAACTTAATGTAATAAAAAAATATCTTATTTAATCAATCAAAAATTCATTACAAAATTAGGAAAAATTTCAAACTGTTATCAAATTATTGTATTGTAAAATATACGCCATTTTTATGTAAAATATTTGGAATTTATCAATTCTGATACACTCAAATTATTTGAGTTTCAATCAATTTTGAACTTATACACAGTATATCCTTTTTGTTATCTTTATGCATTATGAACGTTCGTTGGGTGGTACATTATAAACCCAACGTAATATGACAGTAAGTTCACAGAAAATAAAAATATATTATGCATTAGTAAAAAACGAATTTAATTCTTCGTATCATACTATAAATTGAAAAATGTGAAGGTATTATGAGTGGTAACCTAAAACATTTTGCTTCTTTATAAAATATTTCCAGTCAATTGTTATACCTACCTCAGGAATGTTATTTTTTAATATAGAATCTATATATACTTAAATTCTCGGATATTGTTATTGCCTGCTAATTTTGCTAAGTAGACAACTCCAAATAGTTATTTTACGCACAAATTCTGATGAAAGAGCATCTGAAAAAAAACTAAATATTTTCTCTCGCATTAAATATTATATAGATAATTTAAATTTATAAATGTTGTGCATTAATATTTTTAAATACATTCAAATGGGTAAATTTTATTTTTATATCAATATTTGGAAAATATTATTATATGTATTGCTAATTATTTTCTTTCTATTATATGTTATACATTAAATAAAATAAGTCAAAGCAACTAATTTATTAAAACAGATTACGACAAACTGAACAAACTCAATTAGATAGTAAACAAGTTAAAATATTATTATTAATTAAGTCATAAGGAACGAAGCAATGACTTAACACAACTGAAAAAAAGCTTTTGATTGTGTATGAATTATTACTAAAAACTTATAAAGTTCTGTTTTAAGTGGAAAATGTACATAAGTTTTTTTTAAGAGGTAGGATTCAACGAGTTAAACTCGATGATCTTTCCTGTGAAACGCTCGATATATCTTGCGAAGCACCCCAAAGTACTTGTGTAGGTCACCCATTATCTAATCATAATTTGTATTAATAATATTCTAAAAACAATATCAAAATTATGCAAATACTAAATGACAAAGCTTTAATGATGATACAGCCATATTATCTGAATAAGGCTGGACATCAAATAGATTTTAAATATCAATACAAATCATTGAAAATTATAAAAGAAATCAAGTGATATCAAAATACATATATTTTTTAATGATATTTAAAATTTACCTTTATCGAAATGATGAAATTAATGATTAAACTAAAATAATTTTATTTTTTTTTTTTTTATTACATACTATTAGTATGATACTAATCGATTTAAAATTTAAAAATAATTTGAATTTAAATTTTGAATTCAACGATAGTCGATAGTTCCATAACATTGTATATATATATTAAAATATGTAATAACAAATAACTAATATTTCATTTTTATAGGCCTGTTAAATATAGCAGTACGGACGATGATAGTTTTTTCTCAATTAGAAATCAACAAAATCACAAAAAAAATTCAAATTTGATATTTCAAATCGAAAAAAAGACAAATGATATCCAAAATCGTATTATAGTACCTACATCAATATTGTGCGATAGTTTAAAAAAACACACAATTTTTATATCAAAGTATTATTTTAGATTTAAATCGAGAAAAACAGATATCAGTAAGGAAAATTTAAATTAAAATCAAACATTTTCATTTTGGTTTCATGCCCTGGAATAAACTATATAAAGTGGTATATACCTACGTATGAATAATAATCGTGCGTTTGTTACTACTAGTCGGAAATCTCGAAAACCACAAATGCTATGTAAGTCATATTCACATATTACTATATTAGGTTCAGTGGGTGCTCCCATTGTCGCTGTAAAATGCATTTTAAAACTATAATTATTAAATCTACCTACGCAAATTAGCACCATTTCGATGTACAACGAAATTAATGTGAACGATTTAAAGTGTATTTATAATTTATCCGCTCTAGTTCAATTGTATAAACATTTAATTCCATTCTTACGTCATTAGCACAACACCAGATATAAACTTAATGGTACGTTACCCATGATATTATAGGTTTACCCATTTGTACAAGAGTATTTAGTTAAAAAGTATATGCAATGAATTCGTATGGCACATTTAATATTAAAAATGTAAACCGTTTTCCAAAGTTGAATGGTATTATTTGACAAGTATTATGAAACACATTAAAATTATATTTAAAAAATGTATCTTTTGTGTAATTTTCTAAACACACACTATTTTTGTCTTCAATACTGTTTAATAAATGCAATAATTGTGTCTATAACACAGTATAAAGGTACCTACATTTTTTTTTTTTGTATAAAATATAAAGTTGTGCGATAACAACAACAATTCAAGCACGTGATTTAGTTTAAAAAGTACCTACACTTCAATATTGATCACTTTATCTCTTTGTAAAGTAGACTGAAAAAAATTGTAAAAAAGGTTTTATTTTGAGGAATCAAAAATCATAATTATACGATAAATTATTACAATAAACAGAAAGAAAAATGTTATGTTTTTACGGAATATTGTTGTAATTTAGTGCAAGTAATTTTACACTTTTCATTAAAATATTTTTACAATTTAATAATTTTTTTTAAGTAACACAATTATTTGAAGTAAGATACATAATGAATGTAATGAAACTTAAAAGTTGTTCAATATTATAAAATCATCGTAACTAATTACACTTCACATTGTTAATTGATTTAAATACAAATAAATTCCTACTTCAATAACTCTTATGAAATTACAATGTTTGTAGTTTATAAGCTTCTGTAGGAACAGATTAAAATGTTTACAATAATAATTGTTGCATTTGAAATAATATCATTGTTTTACATTTTTAATTAGTAAAATATACAATACATTAACAATACAATATGAACATTGTACCAATATAGTTTAATAACTTCTACAGTTTTTCATCCACAATTGTGTTGGAACATACATAGGTACGTTTTCAGTTGTAATGCACTTTTGAGCTCCATCACTTTTTTAACGAGCTTCATCATAACATTTGTCACTATCCATCTGGCACTATAACTTTCTATAGTAAAAACTAAAAATATAAATTTCCTTTCTTATAAATGATAAATTTAAAGGGTATATTTTAAATGCATTGTACAGAAAACGAATTGTATAGTTATTTTTAAATCAGTTAGTCTAATGACAAAAATATCGCCATGATGATTTGTGATGATACAGTTAAGATCTGATACAATTATTAGATTGTGTTCAAATTTTATCTCTAAGAAGTGAATTCAATCATTTTTTTTTTTATTAAAAATGTCATTGTCTGTCGAGAATGATATCAGAATCACGTGCCAGAGAGTTTCATACTTTTTACCTTCCATTCAAAGATTTCCTAACTATGGCATTCCATTTGTGCGATTATATTATATTCCAAGTTAAATAATAATATTCTAGAATATAATGTGTTTTGTTTCGTTACAGGGGGACCAGCGGAATCGATATCGACTTGAGGAGAGTGGATATCGACCAATGTAGTTTACCCGAAGGCAGTACGAAGCTGAACATTTTTGCCTCTTCAAATAAATGTAAAATGGACACGACTCAAGTAAGATTTTATAATATTATAACAATATTATCATATTATTAAGCACCATGCATGATGGCTATATTATTAACTTTTTAACGCATTTCAATATCATAACATACACATTATCCAGTCGTTCGTAGTTAATTTAAACGGTTAACTATACTGTTCTGCTGTTCTGTATCCCTATCGGTGCTGTAAGTTATAATATGAGACTGCAGTCTCCCGCGTTAAGTACCCAAAACTACGTGTATATTGATATAAAGTTTGCTGATAAAATCACAATGTTCGAAGTCATTCGCTTACTTCACTACAGTCACGTCTGGCATTAGGTACTTGTAATGTTTATTGATAAATATCGTGTATTTAATATTCACACCGTATTTCCGCGATGGTATGGCCGCCATAGTCGCGTAAACCACACAAACACAATCAGGCCGCAATGCGCATGTGCGCGTCCAAGTCGAGGTGGCTTCAACAATTCATTATTATATTTTATGCAACGCCATAGACAAATTGCAGTAATTTTCGTTTGCCCCCTTCTGGTGACGATGGTGATGTGTCCACTGCGTGAGTTTATCGATAATATTATCATATTGTGTGTACCAAAATTATCATACTTGAAATTTATGAAACGTATTATGTACCCGTTGCAAACATTTCGTTCGTGTATTGAAGAAAAAAAAAGTTTTTGTGCTTTTTATTTTTGTATCATAACAAAAACTACAGAAACCAGCCGCGGCCCAACACATAATTTATTAACACTCATATAAAGATCTAGGATTTTCATGACCTAAAAAATACACAAAAATGTAAAAATGACCTAAAAACTCTAAAAAATGAACTTAAAAAATGACCAAAAAAATTACTTAGATGAGTAAAAAAATTTAATTTAAAAATAAATATTATTATTTATTATTAATCATTATTTATTCGTTTTTTACACTACACAAAATTTAAAAATTTGTTTTGAGAAGTAACCAAACAAATATATTATTTAAATTTGAGTTGACTAGTGAGTTTAATTGATTATATTACTTTTTCGATTCATACCCACTTTGCCGAATTCCAACTCAGTTTTTCACCAGTTTTAAAATATTTTTAATATTATTTTATTAATATAGTTTCAATTCTCCCCATTCGCCGACAGGTGACAATTATTTTATCGAAAACGAGTATAACAGCGATAATATTATGGTATGTTGTATATATAAGTTCAAAGGTACTATTTTTATAAGAATACATAGGTATTAATTGAAATTACCTATACAACACATATTAAAAAAACTTAAAATAATCAAAAATTAGTTTAGACAAGCAAATTGAATATTTATAAAAATGAGCTTAAAAATGCAATAAAATGCATTTAACACAAAAAATGTATAAAATGAAAAAGAATGCAAAATAAAAATTGCACATTCTAACTTGTTGTATCACGAAATAAATGTAGTTTTTCGTTATAACTGTACAGCATTTAAAGAAAGAAAATGTAAAAATCAACAAAGCCTAGCTCTACTAATATACCTACAGTAGTATGTTATATTATACATTTTTTTTTATCTTAATAACATCGGAATCTATGGCTTAAAACGTAATTCTATCAGATGTTTTCTATCATTTACAATATATTTACAATAAGTTGGTATGTTTTTTAACTTAAACAAAAGTTAAATTGTATAATTTTATTCCCATTGTGAAGATAATGGTATATTTTATGTTTGATAGTGGTCTGGTTGTAGTGCTTCTCTTATGTGTTATGTTATGCTTATTTTTTATACAGATTTTTTGTATTTTTGGTTACTATTGCTACCCCAACACAGTTTGATATTTTATATGCACCTGCAGTGTCATGTGTTTGTGGTATTTTTGTATTGTGTTATGGAAAATATGTCTGTTCATAATTGGGTTTATGTTTTCTTTTTTTTTTTTGAAATATATAAGATAGCATTATAAGTAATGATGTAATAAATTATTAAACATTAGTTTGTATGAATCTGAATTTAAAAAAAAAATATATTTCTCTGTTGTTCATTTCTATTTTTCGTTTCAGTGAGGATTTGCGAACGTGATTTGCCCTGGTTCGATGCTATGTTTATTGTTTATGTTGATATGTAATTGTTCACTAGAGGAAAAATTGGGGTCTTCTTAGTACCATAAATTTTTACTTTTAGATAAATTTATGATTCTTCAGCTTCTTTAACACTTTTTATATGCATTTGTTTGCTGAGTTATCCATGTCTCTATATTGGTCTAGCTGATCCAATGCGATATAGTTGGCCACTAATAAGAAAACAGTTGCTGCCGACTACTTTTCTCGGGGAATACCGTTTTACCAGATGACAAAAAATTGAAAAAGAATTTGTTATTTTCACTTGAGATTGTCCACATAACAAGAAGAAATATTTTATGTTGTTATAATAAATTTATGTTTCCATTTGTTAGCATTTTGCTTAGTAGTTTGAGCACTCTGTACCTCCATAATTTTTGGTATAGTTTGGTTATTTCGATGCTGCCTATTGCCAATTAGTGTTTATTTTCAATTCTGTTTTTATCTCGTTCAGATTTTATTTTTTAAGCTTGAATTTTATCTATTGTAGATCTAGCGAAGTAAAAGCAACTTGGTTATTCGGATATCATTTTGTTTTATTCTAGCTACCTACCAAATGAGACTGAAGTTTATTATATTTTTGTCATTCATTGTATTTCAGAGAGTGATACGTCTGTATAATATACATATAATATATTATATCAGACTGTTTTTTTTCTAGTTTGGTGTTTGGAACAATCAAAAAGTCGTGTTTTTTTCCACTTGTCTCATTTTCTGCCTGATCTCCAGATCTTTTTGTATATGTTTGGTTATATTTGATTTTGGTCTATATTCAGAGATTATTTATAAAACAATAAAGTATACAGTTGGAATCAGCCCATCTAAAATTATTATGCCCATCTGTGTTCAATAAGAAATAAGTGTTACTATCCATAATATTATCTGTTATAAATTATTTATTTCGATTATAATTTCTGCGTGGTTTTCTAAAAAATTAAAAACGCGTAAAAATTATAAGAAGTTAGAATAAATAATACAATTGTTGAAGTCCATAAATATTATTCTATAAAATATAGTACATGTAGTTTTATTTGATGTATGATACTTAATTGTTGAGCTAAAATTTTTTATGAAGGCTAATAAAAAAGAAAAGAAATATAGTATAATATAATTAAAAGACAATTGATTTTTAATAACTTAGATAAAATATAAAAATAGATTATTTAATTCGAATGTAAAAAAAAAAAATGTTCGATTTTTAAAAACATGTAGGAAACCATGGCATAATTATTCAAAACGTTAAACTTAAAATACGTATATAGAGAAATATAACATGTGTAATGGGTATAAATGGTTTTTTTTTTAAATTTATGTCAAAATATTTATTATTTTCCCTAAACACAAATCATTAATACCCATCCCAGTTTTATGTATCCGATATCTAATTGGGACCTTATAGAATTTAAACAAACGATGTAATTTACATATTATGTTTAATTTTACCATTAAACATATAACTTACCTACCCAATAATACATACAACTATAATAAATGTTTCGTAATTTAAATGCTGAAAATCCTCTCATACTCTTGAATTATGAGTATCTCCTAATTCATATGGAAACTACCGGCACGATAGATAAGGAAATTAGACAAATCACGTCGTAACGACCACATGACATATTCATTATTCATATTACAGTATTCATTAAAAGTTGTCAAAAGCTCTGTTTATTGAAATACGTTATTGAATTATGTTTAGTGAAAAGTTGTAAATTAACAATTTAGTAATATTATGTTACCAATGTGGTACATTTTCGTAATTTATCTAAAATCTATAATCACTATTGTAATCAGTGTAAAACACTGAAAAAAACAACCATTATAACACTGAAAAAAACAACCATTATATGCGTGTATAAATACAGACCGAGCATACAATTCCTCATATTGTGATAATAAATATTCTATCCTGTCAATTACATTTATAGGGTCCTCGTTTCTCTGAAATGTATTTACTATTTACTATACGAATCGATCTATGATAACATATCCTATGCATAATACATACGTAATATGTACAGATATATCCCACTATATATCCCACTATATTATATCCCAAAGCGTCAAACAGCATATATTTTGAATAAACAATAAAACATATTTTAAAACTTGATTGGCTTGTTAACGCTTTTCACAGAATTTATTTCCACTCAAAATGTTTATCATTGTTATATCCATCACTCATCTACCTAAATGTTTTATTTTTTAAGGGTGAAATAATTAACCAAATAATAAATAATTATTTGGTAATCAGCCAAATGATGTACAAAGTTTTAAGTTTTTCTTGAAAAAAATGGTAGATTAGATTATTTGATTTTAATTGTCCATTTGGTTTTTTGTATTTGAAATGAAAACACGATAAGAAAAGCTGTATGCGTACTATATGTACCTATGTAGTTGTACCTAGTAATAGACATGCACAATACATAGTTTTGTATATTAGCTAGATATATAAGTAGGTACATTACACAATTTTTTTTATAGTGTGTATCGTTGGCTGGATTTGGTTTTCGTCGTGGAAGTTACAAGTGTGTGTGCCGCAAAGGATATTATTTTCCAAACATCACAAGCACCGAAAAGTCGTTCAATGGCATCGTAGTAGAAGAAGAGTACGAAAAGCTTATGTTGGTGAGTGTAGTGAACGGCTTATTCTGAATATTCGGAATAGATGTTATTGACATATTATATTGATCCATTACTTATTTATCTTTTTTTAAATTTTCTTTTAAGGGGAAACCAAACACGTATAACGTCGAAGAAAACTTTCAGTGTAAAAAATGTGCAGAAGGTTGTGATGACTGCGTTGATTTTAGTCCATGCATCGCCACCTACGACATCATACTTCGAATCACAATACTGTTATTGACGCTCCTGGTTATCGGGTTTCTACCAATGGTAGCTATATTTACGTTCAAATATAGTGATCTCAAGGTAATATATATTCATAGTGGGTATTACAATATTATTCTAAAAATCATACTTTTTTTAACATTTTTTTTTTTTTTTTTGTAACCGGAATTCAAAGCACCACAAATATTGTAATTCAAAGTTAATGGTACAATTGTATGGTTATATTTAGCTACACTTCACGTGTTCATAATGGCATGGATATTAAATTAATTTTATGAAACGAATGTTACTTTTAATCAAGTGTAGGTATTCCACACATGTTGAGCATCATTTAACAGTAATATAGTATATGTATATATATATTATTTGCCTGTCAAATGTCTACTGTTATATTTTGGAGATTTTTAATTATTGGGTTATACTCCCCCATTGCGCCTACACAATAATATATCATAGTACTCGGTTTAATTCCAACAATTGATCGCAATAAGGTAGTTAGTCTGTTTCTGCAAAGTTGCAAATAAGACTGAAGCGATTCCCCGATGCCTAATAAACGAAATCATACCTACTTGCAATTACTGCAGGCAAGTTACCTATTCTGTTGCACAGTAATAGTTTCGAGGGACCCTGTACTCAGCTGGCAGGTCGCTATAATGTAGGTCTTAAATTTTAATTTAATCCTATCTAAGTTTATAAAATTTCGAATGAGTTATTATTTAAATATATTTTAGATTAGTCATTTTATGTAACAAAAATAAATACAACGAACTTGAGTGTTTTGGTTCTGTGTCTATATAATCTTACGATGTGGACAGTAATTAAATTGTTTAGAGTGAAAGATAACGTACTGCATGATAGGAAAACCAAAGTGACTAGTAAACGATTTATACAAAAAAATTGTACGTGATTACTTTGGTTCACTGATTCTAATAAATAATTGTCAGAAGTATAGATTATAATGAAAAACTCGATAGAACTTACCTACTTGCGTAAAGTCTACTACAAACTTTGAAGCTGTTTTCAAACAATACCATTGGATTTATAGGTAGATAACATTCAATCTATAAAGGTTCAAACAACTAACAATCTATAAAGTTATTTGCTTTCTTTGCTTACTTTGAGAACTTGTCTATATACAGTATCGTCCATACTAAATATGAATTGACAATGAATGATGTATTCCCTCATCTCCGATTTATTCGGTTCATACTATATCAAAATGGTAAACATGTATCTAAAAAAAAATATATATATATCTTGAGACAACTTATATAGCGTTATTTCTCTCAGATTTCAAGCTTTAATCACCCACCTAGTAGTTGATTTCAAACTCCGTTGGGTGCCCGATATTAATCATTATAAGCACGACGTATCCCGTTGTGCCAAAGTATTTTATTCCATTACTGGAACTTGGTGGGAGCTCGTATATCTGTACAGTCGACGTATTATATACTTCTGTCACTGGATTTTAAATAAATGACATTATAATACAAGTACATTTGTATATGTATTTTTTTTTTTTTGTAGTTATTCTGTTGCTTTGCATCTTATTGGACATCATTTTAAAGAAAAGCAATTATTTTATTTACGTTCATATGTACATATATATACATATTTGATACAACTTGATACATAATTATCAGTTACTCACAAGACAAACACCTAAAAAGGAAACTTTGAACTTCCATACAGTAGGTATCAAGTGTACCTCTTATACTCATCATTGAAAAAGTCACTGTAATGGACGTGTTAAATTGTCAATCAATCACTCATAAGTCATAATAATATGCGAACAACGATTCTGGGTAAAGACGATCTGTCGGCCTTTATTTTTAATTATATTTTATTATATTATACTTATATAGGCAATAGTAGTTTGTTTTTCTGTTAGTACAATGTTACATTAGGTTGATCTAATTTCGAATAAAAATAAACCGCACACACCGCATAATAATATTATTTTATATTTGTCTACAAGCTGTTATTATATTTTATAATTCAATAATAACGTACCACGTAATATGGTACGAAAAGGTTAGTAGTATGAATATTTTAAAATTAATTTAAATACATTGGAAATTTTATTTGTGTATAATACACTCAGTGCTGCTTAAGAAACACACTCGTCAACAAGTTTTCGTCAGACATTACATTTTTAAGCTTTATGATCGAGCATAAACATTTTTATCAAGCTTAAAAAAAAAATCTCAAATTAGAATACACCTATAATAATAGATTAAAATTAGTCTAAATGTTTTAGTCCAATTTTACAGGATTAATATTTTTAAATTTCATCAAAATAACAAAATCCTTTGAGAGTTATCTTTATTGTACGTGTAAATATCCAAGGTTTTCAAAATTGTATCTCGAGTCACCTTATTATGAAATGTATGTCCAAGTGTGGCTTTGCAATTAGTTTCTAGTAAAAAAAACTTTAGAGAAATCTTGTATGATATTTTCACCCTAAATTTATTAAAATTAAAAATATAATTATTAACAACAAAATAATTTAATTCATATTTTTTTATATAAATCAGAATGTAATGGTACATAAATCGAAACAAAACAAAATCAACCATATCAAACATCTATAAAATGAGCCAATATAATTTGAAATATATTATATCTTGTCTATCAAATAAATATTTGGTGAACAATACAAGTACTAACCATAAAAATGTATTTTTGAATTACTAGAAAATAAAAACAGAATCCATTTGTCAAAATCTAGTTTTGCGTGATTATTCCGGTAATTCTTTGATTTTTTCCCGATCATTCTGAAAGTACTGGGAATATTTTACTTTTAACCTCTTGAACCAAGGTAATGTTAAACAGAAATCGGCTTAAAATATTTTTTGTTCTAAAATCTGAGGACAGACACAGACAATTTAAAAACACACACATTATGGTAAACCCATTACATCGACTCACTAAAAATCTAAACAACATCTTTGTATCAACAATTGTACATAATTTGTACATGAAAATTAATTATATGTGTGTACGTAGATATAATAGTCGAATAATATTATAGTAAACATTTGTGTGTATCGAATATAGACCTAAAACACATTGAAATACATGGAACGAATATGACTATTTTAAAAGAAAAAAAAAGACATTATGGAATAACTGCCAATATAATAGTAAATTATACATACATTTTCTTCTAAACATATGAGACGTTTCTCACCTGTTCTGGAGGGAAAAAACACGTATAGACAATAAAGAAGTATCATAAATACAGTATCCCTTGACAGCGGGTTCTGGCCGAAAGATAGAGCACTGACTTATGTTTTAGATTTTTTTTTTAGCCGACGCAGTAAATCTTGTTTATCATCATATACGTCAAAGGTTTTTAGATCCATCACATATCAAGTTTTTCAACCTTTTTAGATTTAGAGATAAGTAAAGAACGTATTGGCATAAAAAGAAATTCTAAGAATTTCGTTTTTTTTTTCTCTGACTAAATGTTTCAAAAATATAAGATGTGAAAAACTATTGCGATTATAAATAAACTAATAATTATTATGGTTAGGAAGTCATGGAATATCGTTGTTAGCGTTAATATAATAATATGAAATATCAAAACTTCGTTAATTAAAAATATATTTTAACTTTTAACTTTTTTTCAACCGAAATCAATATTTTTAATTATATTATAAATGTATAAATAATTAACTAAATAAAAATAAATTATTTCAAGAAGACGCTACTCTGGCACATGCCTTACAATTGTAAAATTTAATATCAAATTTGAGTTCAGCAGAACCAATTTCATGTTCTGGGCTTAAATATTAGAGTGACCTAAGACCTCTTCAATTCAATAGTAATAACTATACCTGTACTTACGCGTAGATTGTTTTTGGTATTTTAATTTATTGGCAAGATATGAGTATGTAAAATATCACAAATTAAAAATCCACATTTATATCACCTAAAAATTAAAATATCGAAAAAAAAACTGATGTTTAGACATAGATATTGTTATTACCTTTATGTTTGACAATTGGTCGTCAATTCAAACTAATTATTAATTTAAGCCTACGGTACAAAACTGGCAAAAGTGGGCATTAACTTAACTAGTTAATTCATTTTGTTGTTTACTTATTAACTTATTCGGTTAATATTTGTATTGTTTAACTCACTTTTAATAGTCAATTATCATTATCGTGCAGTTAATTTAATTTTTAAAAGCACTTTGCTGATGCAAAAAAAACGAGGATCTTCAATTATGGATAGATTTAGCTTATACAATTGGATTTCTGGTAACAATGCACTATACTACTATAATAACAATTTAACGTTTTATGTTTACAGTGTTAAACATTGTCTTCGTAAATGTTTGTGTAAATCAAAATACTAGTCATTTACATGCATGTAGGGTTCTCTCAAAATAATTTATTTTTATTTAGTTATTAATTTATACATTTATAGTACAACCAAATATATTCAAGTAGATTTTCTCAAGGTTTTAGCATGCTGTTTAAATATTTCTATACATTTAACTTAAAAAAATAATTAATAATGTACAAATAACTGTACCAAAGTCTTCTCATAGTGTTTATAAAAAATGTATTTAAATTATGTCAGCAATATAATTTCTAGTATATTAAATATAAAACCAAGTATACAATTTTATGTTTAGTACCGAATTCGGGTAAAAAGTTTTAGGCGACAAAAATCACTTCGAGCAATATTTATATCGATATTCTATATATATTATGTTCCCTTCTGTTTAAAATGACTGACTGGAAATGCTCATAAAGTGCTCAACCATGTTTTCATGTCATATTTCGAGAGCTTAGACTAAAGAATTCTTATAAAAACTAAAAATATATGAACAAATACAATACAGTGGATTATGTAGGTAGCTATAGTAGCGTAATATATTATATTCAAGAGAAATTATACTCTATAGAAAAGAGTTTAAATAAATATTTAAGAAATGTATGTTCATAATAGGTATTTTATGTTTTTATAAACAATAATCATTTTTAAAATAATAAAAAAATGTTATTTTTTTATAAATATTAAATTACAATACATCATTTAAATATTGTTTTAAATTATAGCCAATAAGTACCTATGTATTTTTGTGTTATACCTAAGGTTAGGTTAGTATTATACATCCAGTATAATTTATCGTACCCTATAGGTTATAATAAACGACATCAAATATAGGTACTATAATATTAATGTTTTATCGAGAATACACAATTATTAGGTTTTATATCGTCGTATAAAATAATAAAAGACGTAATTTTAATGTTTAATGTTGAATTATCAAATATATGTATTACTTAATCAGAAAATCCTTTTATGAATCAGCATAATATATTTCATTGTATAGATAATGTTTTTTCTAAGTAAATAATTTATTTGTAAATTGTCACAAACCATACAAGATATCAAATGAAAATATTTATCAAATATTGAATTTCCTAACTGTATTATTATAAACATGAGTCTTGCTGGCTGAAATGTCTCATTCTTCTATTTATTTAAATTTATTGACATAATTTCAGAACAACGACAACATTAAAATATATGACAAAAACAAAAGTTAGATCAAATAAGAATATACATAATTGACACTGAAATTATATTATACACGTACTTTGTAGTAAATATTATCACACTGTGATGTCGTATTTATTTTTGTACTCTTCTATACATTTTTTTTTTATTGTGTAGTACATAAGATAAAAACATTGTTAAGAAATTGAATTTCAATTAATTTTAATAATTTATGTTTCAGATTGTAAAAGCCGCCAGTCCAGTGTTGTTACAGATAATAATCTTGGGAGCTTTTTTCATGTATACGACGGTAAGCTATGACGGCACCAAGCATCCAACGTGCGGACAGCGCTTTAATTAAAAAAAAACTTATCATGTAGCAGACATAATCTCCCAAACTAAAAAAAAATAACAATTTACAAGACTCCTTAAGACATATTTGGTGTAACGGCCTATAATAGCCTATGTAGTGTGGCTAATAAATCCAATTTTAAATCTCAGTAGAGCTTAAATATTTCAAACTATGTCAGTTTCAAAATATATCATTATTCTCAATCCCATTAAAATGATAATGCACCAATTTTTCAATTTTAACACTTATTACGGTCATAGGGGTATGAATTAATATTGAGGGGGGGGGGCTATAATGTTTCGGGTACTCAACTTACAGTATTCTACAAATGTAACTAAAAAAAAATTAAGCAGGGGGCTATAGTCTACTGTTCACCCCCCCCCCACCCATTATATATACGTCTATTATTGAACACTTCACAATCACCTGCATCCCAAAACATTTCTGTCGAAGAACCTCAAAAAAATGTATTGCAGAATTAATCATTCCAATCTTTCAATAATCCCCAACGGTCACTGGGCATCGACAAAATATTATACATCCCAACCATGTACCAGAAATTGTCATCGGAGGTTAGAAAAAATAAAATTTCGAGACCTTCTTCGGTTTTGTATTCAGTTGCGTTCTGTTGATTTTGAAAATCAAAACGGCTGTATGGATTCTTTTATTGTGCGGCTGTCACTCGTATTATTAAGTCGCGGATATAAAATATGTTTTTTACTACATTAAAATTTAACATTTTAATAATCATACGGACGCAAACAATGAAGCAGATATTATTGTAGGAACCTTATCAAGGTTAAAGCAGAATACAAAAAATATAAATTTAAATTTGAGATGTTCACAATTGACATTTCTGACTTTGGCACAGATAATAATTTAGACCAATAGTTTCTACAACACAATTAAACCTTATATATACGCACGAGTAATACTATAAAATGATAATACAATTTCCCCATCACCCATAGCGTTTTTTATTATTTATTTTTTATTTTTTTGCAGATCATCGTCATGTATCCAACACCAAATCTAGTAACGTGCACTGCGCGGTTTTGGCTCAGGGAAATTGGATTTTCCCTCACATACGGCGCACTCATGTTGAAAACTTGGAGGTGAATTTATTCGCTTACTTCCTTTTAATAGTAGGTCCCCCGTAGTTTCGGAAATAATTCCTCGCCCAAGCCAAGGTTCGGTTTTCCGCTTAGCTAATAAATAGCCATTTACTTCTATCTTTAACTTTAATCCGTTGTATCCGTTTATTGGGTTCGTAACTTGATAAAATATAATTTTGCCTCGTTCGAATGTGTTTATGCATATTTATTATTTATAATTTGTTTATGTAACCCGAAGTATATCTGAATAATATGCTATAAGCATATTCATTAATCAGTCATGTATGTACTTACTCGCATTCTACTCACGATAATAATTATGACAATCTGGTTATTATTTTTATAGTACTAAACACGCTTTGGATTTAATTTAATCATATCTACTGTGCTTTGTTAAAATTATTAGCACGAATTCTCTCATTGTGATAATTATGTGTACAGAAATCGTCAAAGAACTCTTATGAATAATATATTTACGTATATTTACCTATTCATTAATCATTACAATACTGAAATAAAGTAGATTATATCTTAACGTTATTTTAAGACACAAGAACAATTTAATTGCATTTCTGAATGGCATATTCATACAAAATTAATTTTGTTTAGAATTCTTAAGTCTAATATTTGTTGTTTCTACTGATTCATCCGTGATTAGACTTAATCCACTATTTTATCTAGTAAGAACACGTTAAAGCCATTCAATATCATATAAAAATAAATCATATTTGTTTGGATAAAACCTTTTTAATTTTTAACATGGACCATAATATGAAATCAATATTTTATTCTAAATGTATTTAAAAATTACACTATTGTTCATTTCTTCTTATTTTCTGGTCATTAACTGTATGAGTTCTATTACAATTTATTTATAATGATATTCGACTAGGCAATTAGCTCTGAAAATTAACAGCTTACATATACATACATACATAATACAATTGAATCGGTGTTCTAACTTTTTTATTTTACTGATCCCTATGGTTCAACACTGATCCGTAAAATATATATTCATGTCAGCTCTGACTCGAGTCATGGAACTTCAGTATTGTGTTGAGTCGATTTTTTAAGCCATACCAACAGCAAAGTTCAATTGTTGATTTTCAACTTTTGACAAATACTAACAAGATAATTGACATTTTATTTCTTCCATAGAAAATAAATAAATAATGATATTTTCTTTGATACTTTCAATTTTGTACTATATTCTATATAATATAATTTGTAACACATACACATACCATCTCTGATGTATATAGAGTGACTCACCAAGCATGCTCGCCCTTCTTTTTTTCAATAATGCAATTATTCAAAATCTAATTTTTTAAATGTTTAAATATCATATTTTCAAATACCTGAGATTTTTTTGTATTACTTAAGGAGTGTACTGTGGAGACACAAACTTCTGTATTTCTAATGAGAACACCATTATTTAACTATAAATTATACAGTATTTCATTTTTCTGATATTTTTGACGTACTAAAGTCAAGATTTGTACAAGTATTTTATGAGTATTATAGCTTTGAGTTCATAGGATAAAAGTTCCATAGTATTGAGCTTAAAATATATGGGGGCCATGGTGATTTGAAAATTATAGTCATTAATGGTAATCTATCGATATTAATAATTTTTAAAAGTTGCCCGATTATAATAAATACTAGATCGAATTTTCGTATATGTTATAAAATGTAAAATGTTATGTAAATCCAGTTTTAAGGACTATTATCAATAATTCAAACATTTTAATAACCAAGAAACTACTCAATCGAATTCCGAATGTGGTACATCAACATTTTCAAAAAAAGTATCCGCTAACTAGTTTCCAGTAAAAAGGCCCCCCCTGGCATCGCCCCGATGGGATTTTTCATTTTAAAAACAGACATTTGTGTCACTACAGGACACACCTTAAGTAGTACAACAAATTCAAAAATTTTAAAATATGGTCTTTGAGTGTAGTTAAAAATTCCAAAAATCATAATTTAAATAAAATATGTATTATTAGAAGAAAAATGTGGATGTGCATCCTTGGCAAATCCTTTTGTATAGTTTAATGGTGGCTTAACATTAACATTTTTGGAGTAGACATAAAAAGATAATTAATTTGTGTTTTCAAATGTTAATATATTAATAATTTACATCGTTATAAAACAGCAATAGTTTTCTTATTCCATTCACAGAGTATCTCAAGTGTTCAAAGTGAACTCAGCAAAGACCGTTCGCATCACCGACAAGCAGCTAATTAAACTTCTGCTTCTAATGATCGCATTTGTCACCGTGATTCTGTTCATCAGGACGATGGTGTCTCCACCACACACGATTGTCGGTCGCACAGCAGACAACCTTAAAACAGATATTTGTCCCACAGATTGGTGGGATCACTCGTTTTCTATTCGTAAGTATTCATTATATTTAATGACTCTATTACATCACTACTAAAGTAGGCACTATAATGGAGTAATGCATTTTGACATAAAATCTAAGAATCTGTCCGAAACACAATATTTTATTGTAGGTATATTATATTACACGCAATGTCCATAATGACAAATTACTAATTGTGATTCTCTCTTATCCTAGACTAAATCTAAAAACAAAATATTTGTTATTTATTATGATATTTTGATATTGTATAATTTTTTTTTTTTGTTTTGTTTATACTTATAACTTGTTTCGATTAATGATAATTATTCATTTCGAAATTTCAACATTCAAAAATTATGTAGCATATTTTTTTAACGTTTTTTTTTTTTTTTAGTGGAAGTTTTATTCTTGATTTGGGGTATCCGGTTGTGTGTAATGGTTCGGAAAACGCCGTCTGCTTTCAATGAAAGTCGGTTTATTTCTATAGCCATATATAATGAGTTTATCATGTCCGTATTTCTCAATGTTTCCATGTAAGTATTTTACAATTTGCCACATTTTAAATTTCTAGTTGAAATATATAAATATATATAATATATATATATTTATTATTTATGCATAATTTGTTCTGCTAAACTTTTGTAAATTTCAAACTGTTTGAACTTGCACTTGCAGTCTTCTAATAAAGTACAATAAAAATAAAATTAATAACTATCAAAATTCCATTTTGAATAAGCTAATAGATTACTAAGTAGGTAGGTAGGTATAGGCTGTTTACATATAATAAACTGTATTATCGAATACATAATTATAGTAATGTAAGTAAAATTGAAAAATAATTTTATAGGTACAATATACTTTTTATTGATTAAATTTCATATTTACTTAAATTACGAAGATTTTATAAACAAACATTTAGTGAAAAATCGATAATAGTATTATAAGTTTATAAAAAGTTTTTATCATACATAACAGTTATTGTAATTGTATATTGACAATATTATATTTATCTTCTTATTTAACAAATAATATATTTAATGTTAAATACATATTTTTTAATTGTTAATGATATTTTAAATTACCTATGTTAATTTAATATTATACTTTAATATTCTTAAAGCTTTAGTTTCGTTAAAAATGACGTTTGTTAAATGTATTTTTAATTATATTTATGGTCATTAATAATAGGTTAATATTATGATTGATGAAATTAGAATTAAAAAGAAAAAAATAATTATCAGAGAGTTATTAATCATATAAAAAAAAAACTATTACGTGTATATACCTTTTAATTTTTGAAATTCCATCAATTGCCCTGAGTATATAATATCGTTCACTGTTGAATATTCACCGTGACAAATTATTGTTAGTATTTTTTGGAAACTAACCACATTCGTTCACGAAATAAATTTCAATTGAAATATTGTGTATTGTGTACCTAGGTAATGCTGTATATTTTATTTTATTCAATAACCAAAATTAATATTATTACATTTTGGTTTTAATTAGGTTACAACAGTTTCTGGGAATATTAATATTTTATGTAACTAATTAAAAAGTACTAAACATAATATAGGTTTATTTTCGGTTAATCATCTTTTTATTAAAACAATCCAAATTCTATAAATAGGACCTCAACATATTGGAAAAACAAATTATATTTTTCTATTTGTTTTGATTGTTGAGTAGCTAATATAGTTGTTCAAACTTCACGACGTTTTTTTCGAGAAAATCCTCGGGAAAAGTTCCAAAAAAAAAATAGTGTCAAAAAACACGATCTCGAAAAATCTATAATTTTTTTTATGCTTTTGTCTACCTCACTTATAATGTTTTTTTAAATCAATTTTTTACGTCGGAAATTTAATATTTATTGCATAAGTTATTTTAATATGTTTATTGAATTCAAATACTTACACTATACTATTATAGTAATATTCCATTCCAATTTATTCCGTACACAATGTGCACTCCATTTGAAATGAGCGGATTTAATTTAATAGTTGCGTGCAAATACATAGGTATTCGCGACAACATAAGTATATTATTGTGTAATGATGAGCAGAAATAATGTAATAATATTTAAATCATTCGTGCACAATTTAGATTAGTTTCCAGACACGTGGCCGCGTACACTTTTTGCTATAAACGGTATACCTATTATTGAAATTAACATCAGAGAATAGCTATATTTCAATTTCGCGCAATTTCGTTATTGTGTGTTCTATGACTACTGTAGCATGACTGAACTTAATTTTGCAGCGCCAATGTTTGTTTGAATTTGTCTGTTAGGAAATACAAAATGCAAACTGTTTGGGATGTTTTATAAAAATATGTGAAATTTATTTAGTGAAAATTTAGTAGGTATTTTTTTCATTAATTTCGTATTCAGTTTTTAATTTATTAAACATTATATAATTATTGTCCATTGAACGTACGACACACAGACAGAAATAATAATACGCATTATATTGATGAAATATGTTTTCAAAAAGAAGTTTCATGTTTGATTCATAAAAATGTAATTGCATTAATCCGGGTTTAAAACAATCGGTTTACCCCATACACATATTTCAAATAAATAAAACCATTTAAATTGTTCTTAATTAAAAATTAATTGTCCATACATTTCAAATATAGATAAATTGGTGACGGGGAAAAATGTTTTAATGAAGAAGAGTACTTTTTAGATAAGAAGTTAAAAACTCTGTCGTATACTATGATATAAAAATATAAACATCTTATCAATATTTATTTAAATATTTATTTTACATCTTTTCTTATACAGGTATATTGCAAATTAATCTGTATTAGGTTATAATTTATAAATACTAAAAAAATATTTTTTTTTCTTATACCTCAAAAATGACTTATTTATGGATATATGGTTTTATATCTTCACCATGTATATGTCTTAATATACTCAATAAAATATATTTTTTAATCAATTTTCAGGATATTTTTAAAATACCCAGCTAATCCAGATTTACAATACGTCATATTTTTTTGTCACGCTCAACTTACGGCAACCGTATTACTGGGACTTTTATTTGGCAGTAAGGTAAAGAAAAAAAATATAGTAAAAATATACTTAGTTTGAGTAGTTTAATATAGCAAAAAAGCACGACCAATAACTCATTATTTATGAGTTTATTACAAAGTATTGTGATTATTATTTTTTATTTTTTAATCGATGAGCAATGGCGGATAATTTTATTATTGAGGGTAAAAATGTTTTTCACATACCTGATATGCTGTAGTTCTGCACTTCCGCCTTAAAATTTTGTTAAAGGTAATGTAAGAGTAATGTTACAAGCAATAAAAAAATTTAATTTTAGAAGTCTTGAAGTATAATTTATTAAATATTCAAATATATTTCTCAAGTTCAAAATAAAATATTTAATTTACATAGTTAAGTAATGCTTAACTGTTAAAATAATACATTTTATTTTTATTATTTTTAATTGAGTGTTATTACATCAATGGTATTGTTGTATAATTATCGTTATTATATACTAAAAATTTATATTATATTTGACTTAATCATTTCAATTATTAAGAAAAACAAAATTATCATTCAAAGGATTGCAACGAATACTGATAGTAAATTTTAACTAACGTTATAATATCAATCGTTGTAGAAACATACTAATCAACATTTAGGAGTTAAAACAATGCGTACCTTAAAATTATATTATTCATCAATATCAAAAGTTAAATTCTTTAATATTAAAGTAATTAATAATATTATAATTTATATTATTTTTACAGAGAAATATTTTTGAGGTCATAATATTATAATTTATTTTGTTTAATTCAATTCATTTGTTCATGTTGTCTTATATAATATGTTATCTGGAGAGAATATGGCGAAAATTATAAATAATTCTACTGATATAGTGATATATGTATAACTTGTAAAGAATTTAAACAAAAAAAAAATATACATAAAATAAGAAGCATTACAATTAAAATAAATTATGTTACTTTCTTTTTATTTTGAAATACGTGTGAATGCATGTTGATTGTTGGTACCTATTGTGTTAAATTAATTTCCTACAAAAATATTGTATTGAACTTATTCTATACAACTATATTATATTATGCTCATATTGTAGATATTTTTAGTATTTGTTTAACGCTGAAGAACAATAGATAATTTATAACAATTAAATATTTCAGTGAATAAATAAATAAAACCATTGACTGAGTTAAATTTCATTACTATCCAATAAACACACATTTTTCAGTATTTATCACCGTATTATTAAACATTTTAGGTAATATTACAACACAAGGCAATAATATAAAAGAACGCTATCTCTAAAAAAAAAAATATATTTAAGTTAAATACATAAATACAAAAACCTATGGACAAGGACACAAATTGACATTGAAAACAAAATAAACATAAACTATTTTAGACACAAACGGCGTAGGCTTTTTAGTTTGATGATTACAGATATAAAAATCCATACGGAAAATAATAATTCAGGTAAACCTTTTTAATAAACATGATATTAAACTGACAAGGCACTTACAAACTAAATATATTAGTCTAAGTACCTTTATTATTATCAAAATAATCAAATTAATACACATGAAGATTAATGGTAAATCAATAGATACACTGTTATACAGTTTTAATAGTAACAATTTAAAGGTATGATCGATATATTCTTATGTAATAATAAAATATGGACATAAAAACAAACAAAACGGTAGTTTGTTTTTGTTTTCCTCGCCTCAGTAAGATGTTATTATTCTATTCCAATATCCAATAAAAACGTAGTAACGTGTTACACATAGTTTGGAAAAAATTCTCTCAAAATAAAATTTAATCAAAATTTAAAACCGTTCGGAATTTCATCTCGGATATTGGGACCGCATAGAAACTATTGAGAAAATACAAAAAAAAAAACAGTTTATAAAGTACAAAATGTAACGGTATCGAATGAGAAAAATGAATATTAAAATATTTGTACTAGAAAATTATTTCTGTGATTTAGAATATTATCTTTAAATCAATACACAAATATTGTTTACACGTATTTCCTACGTCTATAAATGTATTTCATTTAAACTCGACTTATGTAGAAGTAGTAAAGTGGTAACTAACTTTGATATAGGAACGCCATCGATTAAAATTTACTACAAATCCTATAACAATAAACGTAAACGTTTAAAGATAATGGCAATTTAATTTTGTTTTTGTATTTTATTTTTGTTCGATAATGATGTTTTGCAAGTACAAAAATCATATTATGTATTATAGTTACGCATGTGATATAAAATATTATAATACATGTTATTCAAACTATTTTTTTTTTGTTTTGCTAAAAATTATTGGTTTATGACTGCAGGCTTAATTACCTACGAGCGTATACCGAGAAGAATATATTATTATTTCCCCGATGACCAATTATTTTTGCATCGTTTTGTTAATCTGTACATATGCATATTGTATAAAACTACATTTTAATTAACTATTTTATTTTATTCCTCCTAAAAAATACAAGGACAATATAAAAATATAAACCCATTAAACAATAGTAGTAGCATTTTCCTCGGTCACATTTCAGTCCGTAGATGTACCGCTGTCTATTTTGTTTCAAATATATATTGTTTGTTTAAAGTCAATTAAAAAAATTATAACACTGTTTTTATCAACATTTTTTTTTATCGATTGTATTACTATTTAATATGTTATGTAGTAATAATTGCTGATATGATTGTATACGTGTTGTGTACCTACTTCATAAAGTATACATTAAATTTATTTTTATTTTAGTTTACCAAAATAAAAGCAAATAAGCAATAATTAAAAATTAATATAAACATTGTATCGATTTATTTATAAAATAAATTAAAGTTATATTCTATACGTTTTATTTGACTATCAATGGAATTATTCAAAGTTTATATTCATAATTTTAATATAATGCCAAAGTGAAAGATTTTTTTGAAATTTATTTAATAATATCAATCGTAAACGTATAAAATATAGTTAATTATTTTTGGATAAACAACTTCAATTAATTTGTTACTTCAAATATTTAAGAAAACGTGCAACTTTCACTTGCCGTACATCAACTAATATTAAGTATTTAAGTTTAAGGTATTTAGTATACATTTTTTGCTTGTTTATCTACAGGCTTTGATAATATACAAAGGCGAACATAAGGTGGAAGAGACGTCTTCTCATAAAATAACTACACAAAAGCTGAAGTTCAATAGCAAACAAAAACATTCTGATCCGTCGTATGAAAGTATAAGTGACAACAAAGAAAGCACAGAACTTCAGGTACTGAAAACGCTGAATAATATATACATTTAATAATACAATAAACATTATTGTAGTTTAAACTTTAAACGTATTATTGTTTAAAATAGTTTTCTCGCAAGTTTTATTAATAAATTTGTTAACATTTATAAATTACTATTATTAATATAACGAGAGAAACGTGAGTTTAATATAATACTCATTAATCGCATTCAGACAACGTAGATCAACTACTACTGATGTTATAGTACATGCCTCAAGCCCTAAGTGGAAATAGTATAGTCTGTTCTATTAATTATATTTTTCGACTTTACCGGTTGAATTGGTTAGTCCCTTTCATATCAGACCAAATATAATATTTTTTCTAACCTTAAGAGCTAATCAGAATAATCATTTCACATATTCTTTTCTAAAATTTAGAGCTTTCGAGCATTACCGGTGGTTATTTTATCCATTTTCGTAGATATTCTTACTATCGGTGTCGTATAATTGTACCAACCAACAGTATTTCGATTTTAAGTCTTCAGAAATAACTGGCTTTTACTCATAGACATGTTTTTTTTTTTAAATTGTGCCAATAAATTATGAAACTAGGCAACAAATAAACCGGAATAGTGTAATTTTAATAATTGTATTTGGTGTACATCACTGTACCTATAAATATGGTCTTGTTTAATATTTACTTTGAAATTTAAGAGATAAAATCATTTTAACCTTTTTTAACTGTCATCACATTCAATCATACCTATTACCTTGTTTTATTATCCCGATCAACAAAAACCCGAAAAGTATTATTTTAAGGACGAAATAATGATTCGATTCCTTGAACAATGATTGTCTTGGTATAATATTATATAGATGTTAGGTATAGTACGGTACTCATTTATACTTGTTGAGTTATTCTTAAAACAGATATGATTAAATTATTTGATTTTATCTTGTAGTTTTTTGTAGGTGCATATTATATTATATTTTAACCATCTAGAAATCGCAACATTAATTTTAATGAAATATTTCTTTTATATCCATACGTCTTGTCAACCTTTACAATTTTATGAACTTTCCGTTAAATTCCGTGGATCGGCAATAGTTAATAGCTCTGTTAATTCCATTAAATTAATTTTATTTAATCAAACATTAATACGTTATTACATTATTACAATTAATGACTGTTAATTACTTGTAAATGTTATGTAGGTATGCAATGTATAAAGTATAAACTAAAACCGTTTATTTGTATTACGATTGGACAATTAGATACATTAATATGTTGAACAGTGTTAATTTCGTCCATGATATACTTACAGGAAATTCGGATCTTAAGAACTACCATAGAGAACCTCATAGAAGAGTTTCTCAAGTGTGGACCAGCATATTCAGACTATGTGTTGAAACTACAGGCCATGTTGGAAGTGATGAAGAACTCTAAGCTGGGCGAAAATGAAGAATTACAGCAGAAATTGGCATTGAGCAATGGCTGTGTGATCAAAGTGGACAGCAATAAAGACGAATCATGTACAAAAAGAAATTAGGTTACATTTTAAATTTATGATGAGACGGTAATAATTATTTTAACTGTGTTATTGAAGTTAAATAGTGGCTCAACACATCGAATAGTAATTTTCCGTCGTTGTATCTGTGAAATACTTTTTCATTTGTGTTCTTAAGTTTTTATTGTTCATTCAAGTTGTGTTCGATTCCACTGTTTGGTTTTTCGGCATTCAATATTAGTTTTTAGATTTTTGATGTTTTAGTGATAACAACTGAACCAGTAGCAAAGGATATTATGTGAAGATTTCACGCCTATGAAGATAGTCTTTAACCTTGAATACATTTCATCAACCTGATGCAAAATGGTTTTATTTTGTTGTGACCAGATGTAAAATATTTGGTATATCTGATTCAGACAAAAAAAATAATTGCAGTTTAGTCATATCACATTACACACTATATTATGCCTATTGAGTTTTAGTTACTTACCTTTTTAATACAATTGAAGTACGGTGAAAACCATTCTATAAAAGCAATTTATTCGATAGTTGAAATATGCCGAATATCATGGAGTTGTTTTGTTTCATACTAGGACATTTGTGTTTTTTTAATGATATATTATTATGTAATCGTTTATAGGACACTACTTATTTCTAGTACCTACCTACCTACCAATACTTTTTTATATTAATAACTATATTTCTATTTGTTATTTAATTGTTACAGTTAGAAGTGTATTTATTTGACTTATATTAAATATGAAGTAAATATATTGTATACTTTCCTTCTAAAATATAAACCTAAAAAAATGACAATATATAATGTATTATACTAATTTATAGTCGGAAAGACCCAACTTAAACCCGCATTGGCAAAATTACACTTTATTAAGAAAGGAATTGAATATCAGTTATTATTTTAATTTTGGTCCACAAATGTGTATAATTTGTAACCAACAAATACGCAAAGCTATTATTAATTGGAAAAAAAATGGTACGAATAAATAACACAATATTATCTTCATAATATAAAATCAATATAAATAAATATCTATCATATAAAAAATAATTTTTCACCTGGTACTTTATCACATTGTCGTAAACATCGTGATAATATAGACATACATATTTTAAAAATTAAATTTAATACCCAACTAATACTATCAATGATACCTAAGATCATAAAATTGATAAAATTACTATTAATTATTTACCTACTTCAAAAGTCTGTATGTAACCAATAGATAGTTTCGATCTGCTGTAACAAAATAAAATGTATAGGTGAATATTTCTAAATAACTCATGACAAGTTTGATGAAACTACAAATGCGTATGGACAAATGGTTTTCTATGTAATAATTCTTACTTTCAGGTAATAATTATTTGTGTAACGTTTAATATTATCCATCTTTTAATTAGTGTCCCGATAATTTGAAAGAAAATACCATTTATACGATTAATTTTAACCCGCCATAATTTTTATATGGCAGGAACTCATATTTTATTTTATTACTACTGGTACGATAATTATTACTGAAATTGAAAACCAGTATAAAATATTTATGATAGGTCAACCTTCTTTTATAGAATTCTATTAAAATATTTGACCCACCACTGATCTTTTAAGTGTTCTAAAATGCTTTCATATTCCTATTTATTAAATTACATTAAAACATTTAAAACAAACAGTATTTTACATAAATTATAATTGATAATTTAATATCATAAAATACAATGTAAAGTATATTATTTTTGACATCTATTTTGGCAAGTTGTACTATACAACTTCAGAATTGAATTGATATATTTTGTTATTTTTTGATGTACATTTGAATCAAATCGTGTTTACATATCCTTAATAATTCGTCTCTGCCTTTTACATCCGCTGTATCATGACATACGCTCCACGCATTATAATATCATTGCAAAATATTTTTCATTCAAAATTTCATTCGGAGTCCATAGTACTTTTTTCATTTCAATATTATACGCCACGCGCCTCGAGTAGAACCGATATATTATTTAAAAATGTAAATTGTTCGCTAAAAAACATAACAATATAATATTGTATGTATATCATTTACACGTATATATCACAACAATAACGCGATGTGTATAGTCGAATAAAACGATTAAAGACTACCGACGGAACAATGAGATACATTGTTTCATTGTGCAGCATTCGATGAGTGGTTTTGCTGATTTTCCGTAATATTTGTCACACAAATTCGACGGGCACACCTCTTACGGTCTTATTTGCGCTAGCCTTATTCGAAATTAATCTGCAGTGCACTGCGCCACATACACATAAAAGGTAGCTCGATAATATGACACGGATCCGAAACAACGACATTAATTATTCTCTCCCAACGTTTTCGGGGGAGGGGAGGGGAGCGAAGGGGAGGGGAGAGATTGATAATTTATTAGAAACGAACAGAAAACAATTTTCCAAAGCCGTTCACGCCGATGAAATAATAATGATATGGTCAACAGTCTGGTACGGTTTGGTCTCCGCGTGCGTCGAACGCTTCGGATGATCGTCATCGAGCGATTCGTGAGAGTCGTTCGTTTAATAATAATAATTCGACGACAACTACACCCCCATCCCCCTCCCCCCTCGTTGGGGAAACCTTTCCTCGTGGAAACGTCTCCGAGACACGATTAGCTCAAAAATCCCATATTTTAGTTTAAATATGCATAAACGTCTTGAACGTAATTTATGACGAAACGCATTGCGCTCTTTATAACAACACCGCCGCCGCCGTTGTCACACGGTTTTTCTATTTTTCTCCCTTTTTTTTTTTTATTTTCTTTTTGTTTTACGCGTTTTCCCCGTCACACAAATGACATAATAAAACTCGACGTGTTTGCGACGCTGCTGTAATTAACACGCGATCGTTCGTCCTCCAGACGTGTCGAGGTCGGCTCGATCGAAAATCAAACTGCACCGGACACGCGGAGAAATCACAAGAACGTGTCAATGTCAATTTCGCCCGTCATATATTATTGTTTGCTCCGGCGGTGGTAATCTATCTTCGGCCAGTGGCAAAGGCCTGATGTATGGCGTACACACCTATGTGCGTATTATTATTGATAATTGCATCACGATACACGTGAGTATCGAGTAATTCTACCTACGACTTCGATCGAACAATAAAATATTGCCTCTGACTGTTTCCCATTTATTTTTTCTCCGCGATACTATTCCGACTGTTCTCAATTAGAAATCTCCAAGTGACATGACAACAAGGTAATTCGGTTATTTTTATGATTTCCAATTATTCAGTACATTTTTGATCATTTCATCTCAGTTTTTATAGCATTTTTTTTCGTAAGTTCGATTCACTTTTCACTCCGCTCTAAAAATAAAAATATTATGTTATATCATTGAACCCAGTCCAAATGTCCAATTCAGCAACAATTGAACTAAAAAAATACCAAACAATCATAGAGATTTCGTTTAACATTTTACATTCATTTTTAAAATTCTTTGCTATTCAAATATAATATAATAATCTATTTTCGTATTATCTGCCTGAACAGTAATCGTGTACAAATGTGATGATCGATTATCGAAGCTTGTGATATCCAAAAAGTTTCGAAACCTAATTCGATTTGTCAATATTGGCATTGTCTTATAACAAAAAAAAAAAAAAATATTTAACAGAAAAAAAATCTCACAATAAGTATTAAGTACTCTTCTATTGCAAATAATATATAGTAGTGCAATTAAAGCTATTTTAACGCAATCTCAATAGTTAATAAATAATATTATTATCTTCAGCCGTTGGTTTTCACCGATAAACGTAAAACTTTCGTCTCTCGCAATATCTGTTAAACAAACGTTTTACTTGCTATTGGATGTCCAACAATCCAATAAACATGTACCTACCTGCAGATACCCATTCAATTCAACAATAAATTAATATGTATTATAAACCGTAGACTTCGGTTCGTTTCAAATATATAATATTGACCAACGGCGACGAAATTAGTTATTGTCTGATTGGTTTTTGTTGTTTCTCCGGCGACGTTCGTTCTTGTGTTTGTTATTGGTGTATACTATCTGTATATTTCGCGAGCATTCTAATGGAAAACTCGGTAGGTACAAAAAGAAAAAGGAAAATAAAGAATTACTTAACGAAAAAAACAAAAATCGACAATAGTTTCCTATTTTTTTTCTCCGGATTTGCAGTACGGTGACATTTCACGCTACAGATACTACTTAAGTACCGTATTCGGGACAGAAAATTGAAACAAAAAATCCATATCTTTAATATTTTGAGAAGGTGTCTCAAAAAAGAAAGCGTGGTTTTGTCTACAGACGTATATTTGCTTGTGTTTTGTTCATACAATACATTTTCCTTCTATACCTACGTGGACAAATAATATTATTGTAAAACTTATTCCAAAAATCCTATTTGTAATTATTATTATAATATATTTTGTTATTTGTTACACAACTATCGTGCAAATGATGTATTTCAACTACTGAATAGTATTGCACATAAATAATAATTAAATATAAAATATAACGATACAATTAATATTTTAACAATTTTTTTTTTTAATGTATTGAATAAGATTGTAGTATATTTACAATTATATGTACTATATCCAATGGATGAAAAAAAAGAAGATTTTACTGGTTTTAGATTGATTGTAACATATTATTAAAAGTTAAATTACCATTGCTGGTTGTATTTTATAGACATTTAGAAAACTATTAAAAACCAGTTTCCTAAGAAATTATATTGTTATATTATATTCTCGTAATAAACTATATTGTAATTTACAAAATATTTTGTACTTATTGGAAAAAAAAAGTATTTCGACAAGCCTACTTAATTGTTTGTGTTATTGTGAATTCAACAAGCTGTATTATAATGTAATAATTGTGAAGAAGTGGACTAATAAAATATATAAAAAAAAACAAAATCATAATATAATTTTTAATATTGTACCTAATAAACTTACGAGATTCGCCGTATCGTTTCCGCTGTAAAAATCAACATATATTATATACTATTGTAATATACCTAACACACACAGTATATACGTATTATATTATTTTTGCACATGGGTAAGTACCGTTTGTAGCAGCGTGCGAAATTAAATTCTTTCGAAATAACGGTGGTCATAAAATGATCACACATTTTTTTTTTTTTTATGTGAAACGTAAACGTCACATTGATCGTCACTAGTTAATCATGATAGCCGACAACTATGCTGTATAGGTATATCGAGACGTCACTCAATATTCATTCTCACCCCTGTCTTTGGTGCTCTACCAGTACTGTAATATTATATTATTTTAACGCATCAGCGTAATAACTTTCAACCATTCGCATTATGAACAGCTTAACTATAGGTATCTATAAAATAATAGTTTTTTTTGGGTATCTACTACTACTTAGTTAATACTTCGGATGAGTTATGCTCTGGATAAGCGATTGATGTAGCTTTGTTTTGTATAATATTATAATAGCTTAGTTAAGTTTATTATGTACTTCGCTCGTACAAGGATAGAAAGAAAACGGTAGAAAGCGAAGATACAGTGATGTGGGAAAATTAGGTAAAAATTTAAAACACGACGATGATAATCGCCAAGAGAGGAAAGCGAAAACCTGCAGAGAGTTCTCTGCAGAATCATTAGTCGTGACATACTTCTTATATATTATTGTATATAAAGACTATAACGCCTAAGTTTTTGCTGTATTTCATTATACTATGTCTACCTAGACGATAAGCTATTCAGATACTTACTATTGAACGAAAAAAAAAAATACTGAAGTCGGTATAATATTACGAGCAGAACTAAAGAAAATAACATATTAATTGAAACACACACACAAAAAACAAAACAAATAACAAATGATAAATTCATTAGACCTCTGTCCTACTGCGTGGAAAAAAAACACCGCTGTATAATAATATAATACATTCCCGCGACCGTAGAATAGTTGACAAATGGCTTAAATATTTTAATAATACTATGTGGAACTGAATTTCCGCGTATTTTTTGTCGGCCAGATAAATCGCCGACGAGGCACGGTGTATTATTATTTTATATCGGTTTATCACCGCTCGGTGTAATCACGGCGGATTGCCACCGTTATTGTTGCCATCGGGATCTCATGTATCACCGTGTGCCGTGCGATGGGTTTGGTCGATCGAAAAAAATTTCGAGTCATCGAATCTGAGTGTCGGTTTAAGTCGCTGACGAACGGGAGGAGAGTGAAAATAAAACGCTACGCCGCCCGCGAGATCGTATAAAAAACAAATAAAACATCGTTAAAGAAACCATTCGTCGTCGTTGTCGTCGTCGTCGCCGCACTTTGACGAGGAAACAATAATAGGAGGTACCCCGTCCATCCATGTATATGTTGTACAGAACACATTGACACAGTTAGGGTAGTTACGTGTGAAGGGATAACAATAAAAAACACACACTGGCTGCAGTAATACATTACAATAATATGCGAAGGTATATACAGGGTGTAGCAGAAAGAACTGACTAGTGCAATAACTTTTGATATAATCAATATTTTGAACTTTTTTTTTGTAAATATATAATTTATAATCACTTGCTCTACACGTTTAATAAAAAACAATTATTTTTATTTTTTAATACTGAATATAAACAATTTCAAATTAAACTAATTTTTTTTTTGGATAAATTTGTGAATCTGATTATAGGAACAATTTTGACGGTAAAAACATTTATCTAAGTCGAGTAGTTTATTTTTTAGAATTTTTTTAAAATATCAATATTGTTTTGATTCAATTCATTTGGAACGTAAAAACTTTTTTCAAAATATAATTTTACGAAATTTACTGACAAGAGTATATTTCTTAAATTATTTATTACTCATATAAGAATAACAAATTTTGTCCTACATTAAAGTATGACATCATTTTTTTTTTTTTTGGTCAGATCTATCTGTTACAGCTTGTATATAAATATTTTTTTCCCACGATGTAAAAACATTAAATTGCATGTACATCACACGCTCATAATATATTATTTTAATGTTATTAAATTATTATCACCGGATAAAATCGTGTTGTCACAGGGCCCTGTGCCTCTGTTCGTATAGTAATATCAGTCATATGCATCCATTATGGCAGCTGTAAATAATATAACAATATGTGAACGACAATGTTTTGAAGTGTAACCTCTCAGAGTACAAAAATGCGCCACCGCTGACAATATGTCATTCCTCGCAAAAATTGAAGTTAATACAAATAACAGAGGCAACGCGATCGATAAATGGCGTGACAATCACATTATTGTTGTATACCTGTTACAATAAACATTATCATTTTTGCTCTCTCTAGACTGCGTGTTTCCAATCATTTCTTCTCTGTCGTGTCCTTTTCCCGGATGACGTTTTTTTTTTTTTTTTAATGAACAATATTTTTGTAAAATATGGTCTATTTTTCTCGTAGGTAGGAACATAATATAACGATAATATTATAATATACGTCTGATAGTCTGTACTGACTTTTTATTCGGTACAACATTGTTATCATCAGACCATACAGTAATGTGAAAATAATGAATTTTCGCCATTCATATCATGTAATTGACACATCGAAGTTCGTTTTTTTTCACAGTCTGCAGTAATAAGTACGTTTTTTTTGTTAGTTTTGAATGCATATTAAGTAGATTGGAGGTACACATAAATGGTGGTAAAAAAGTAAGTGCAACCATCAACTGGGAAGGAGGTAAACACCTAGTATTTATTTTATTTATGACGGAATTCGTCGGTATCATATTATTATGTTGTGTATTTTACTCGGCGTAACGGTGGTTATTGTCATTGGAGTTCTGGATACAAACTAGGAATCGAACTTTGGGTTTTCGAGATAACGAAGCCAATTGTACTTATCTCGGAGAAAATTAAATATATTATTATTATATTTATCTAGATATTCGGGAAGAAAATAAAAAAGTCCACATGATTTAACAGTGCAGGTATGAATCGGTACAATATAGCTTATTTGACATAGACAAATCTGTAAACCAATGTTTTATCATGCTCTTGTTGGTGATTAAGTAATGACTTGATATTTTGTATAAGAAAAACGAGTAAGCATAGGTTGGGTTAAGCTAAACAGGAAAACTGTACTCTTCGAATGTGAAATTTCTTATCTTTCAATTGCTGTTGATTTTTGAGAAAGTAGTAAGTTAATTGATCTAGATATTTGATTATATAACCGTAATATGTATTGGTGTGAGATATTGAAGTAATATATTGTATTATAGATGACTGTAATATTATTGGAATTTTAGTTTAGTTAGTCTAATTGGGGTTCGTCATAATATTGTTATCCATCTATCTATATATTTTATCAAGTTGGACGATATTCAAATGCGTACCTATCGCATTTTATTTTGGTTTGTTGTGAATTTGCTTATATTGAAATAATATGTCAATATGTGTGCTATTACATGTATATGATGAAATATCTTCTAGTTTTTACCAAGTGCGCACTTAAAGCAGAAAAATATTCTTATACCTCCCTTGGCGTCATGGCTTTATTTTGGATACAATGGTATTCGAAAATAGTATTTTATTTTTTATTCTACACAACACCAACTAAAATAAAATTATAATATGTACTTAAATTCATCAAGTACCCGATGTTATTATTTGACTCAACTCGACTCCCATTGTTATCGCACCATAGGTTATTATAATTCAAATTCAACAATAAACATGTACGATACAAGCCTGGGCATAACCAAGTTAAAAAGTTAAAGTTAAGTTAAAAATTGAGTTAATTTTAACTTTTTAAAATTTAGTTTTCATTAACTTAGTTTTTAATTTAACTGAATTCTATTGGTATACACTTAATAAATAACGAGTTACTTTTAATCAAATCCAATTTCGTTCATTTATAAATAATCAAATAATAAATATAATAAAATTATTATTGATGATATATACTGCATATTAAACATATTATTTTTATTATTTTATACCATATTACTAGCTGCATATAACAAATTTAAAAAATAATAATAAATAACTGAACTTAAGTTAATAAGTTAATAATTATAACTTTTCAAATAACTTTTAACTTAACTGAGTTTAAAAAAATTATTATAACTATTAACATTAAGCTTTTTAAAATGTTTTC